TTTTAAAATCACCCATGCAAGATGGTGCCAAGTATTCTCTTAGCCAACTGCTTTTCGGATATGATGGTTGTGCTGATCACGGGATGCCTGTTGCCGCTCCTCGGCCTCTTTTTTGCTGGGCAGGTAGCATGGATTGGTCGCAACTCAGCTGCAAATTTGGCCCTGTTTTCTAACACTCCACAGGATTTTGATCTGCTCTTTTTTCTCTTTGGATCATAAACCCAAGATTATGGTTTACTCTTGAGGAACATTTGGAGCCCAATTGTTTTTGCAATTGAGAAAAGCCTAGAATCTAGGTACAGAAAGTAGTCCATTTTTTAGATAATTACTTATTTTCAATAATAGTTATTTGTTGTTATTAAAAAGTACATTACAATTATAATCTTATAAATCTATACCTTTCATTTTATCCCTTGGTTTTTGTATAAATTTCCTATTGAGTTGATGTTACATACTTAATCAAACACTTAACATGTAATATTCTATAATTAACTAACCTCCTAGATTTCCTTTTTTTAGTTGCCCTCCTCGTACTAAGATTTTACTTTGACTAATCCAGATCGACCCACGTTACACATCTGACTTTGGTGGGTGAATCTCCCAGCACAGGGTTTTTGCATACACAAGGATATGAACTCGAGACATTACTTAAGCGATATCAAACTACTTACCACTTGAACCGACCTCTGTTGGGAACCTCTTAGATTTCTAAATCTTCCAAACACATTTATTCTCTCTAGATTTTAAGAAAATCTCTTCGTTTTCTCTATCTTCTTCATTTCTTTTTCAAGATTCAACGAAGTCAATTTTTAAGATTTCTTCATCCAATCACGTTTCTTCAAAGTTGAGCTAATTTCTATACTAAAATCTTGTGCCTTTTCTTTTTAGATTGAGTCTTGATTCATCTAATTAAAGTTTCTATATAGTTTTTAATGTGAATATATCATATTATGATGTTTTAATTTTTTAATAAATTAATAATAATTTTTTTAAAAAGTTATTAAGATCAGAAGTGTGCATAATCAGATTTTTGATATTTTTTAGTTTTTTGCTGATTTAAAGGTTTGTAATGTCTTAAATATCACTTTGATGTGTTGTAGATCAAATCTAAGCAATAGATTTAAGTTTGGAAGGATTTTGTGAATTCTAATGTTAAAGTTAATTAAATCAATAAAATGGTAGGTTTGAGGTGTGATCTTGCTGTTTTTGGAGTGGTATTAATGGTAGGTTTGAGGTGCACTTTGATTGTTTTTATTTTGCTTGTTTGAGGTGTGCCTATGCATGATGATTAGCCCGTAAACGAACCCAACGCACACGAACGGAGGGATGTTCATGTTCGTTTATTTAATAAATAATCGAACATAAACGAACACGAACAAAATTTTTTTGTTCATGTTCGTTCATTAATGAATATAGCTTGTTCATGTTCGTTTATTTTCGTTCATTTAAATGATAAATGAACATAAACGAACACAAACGAACGAACATAAACGAACAACACAAACACGAAAAACAAACTTATTCGAATACAACAAATGAATGTAAAAAAAGTAAACAACAAGAATAACAACTTAAAATTCTTTAATATAACCTACAACTTTAGAGTTAATTTGTTCGAATACGACAAAAACATACATATATCATAAATAAGTTATATGAACATAATAAAGTCTTGAAGTTAATTTGTTCAACAAAACAATCTTCTTGAAATCCAAACAACTTCAATAATCTTCGTAACATATTCAACTTACCCTCAGTTCGAACATAAATGAACAAACATAAACGAACATATAATCGAACGTTCACGAATGTAAATGAACGAACGGACCATTTGTTTGTGTTCGTTCATTTAATTAAACGAACGCAAAATCTTGTCCATGTTCATTCATTTAATAAATAAACGAACATAAACGAAGTTCCCGCCTCACGGTTCATGAACGGTTCGCTGAACGTTCAGTTCATTTACAGGCCTAATGATGATTGTTGTTTGAGGTTAGTACGATGCATGTTTTGTAGTTTTTTTCAAGCATAATTAGAGATTTGGTATGCTAGATTTGGTGTTTATATGCAATGGGTGCCTTGAGCATGTTTAAAAATAACTAACTAATTTATTTTAACCATTTAGTAAATTTTTTTATTAAAAAAACATAAGATAAAATTTCAACATGTTTGAGTTCTTAATTTTTAAGTTTATACGTATGTTCATACATGAAATTTGATTTAAAATATTAAAAATTGAGCTTATGATATTTTTACCATTTGGACATGTTTAAAATGATTATTAAGTTAATTAAAAGATAGCATAGAGATTGTTAGTAGTTAGTACTATAGCAACACATGCATAGTTGATATCTTTTATTTTATCATTAATTTACAATAACTTTTAGTTTACTTAAGATATAATGATAAAATTATTTTCTAACGTTTGTATAAATGGTCATTTGATCTTTTATTCTTTTAATTTTGGAATATTTTAGTTCCTATTATATTAATTTTTGATCGAAATAGATATTTAACCTAAAGAAATATGAAAGAATAAAAATGGAGATAAAATCGCCGAAACGTGTTTATTCGTAATCAATAATTTACAAAATCATTTACAAAAAGTAATGACATCCGAAATTAATAATTAAAGTTTTACGATACCTTTGGTCATTACAAATCACTTTCATGGCAGGTGGCTAAGCATTGGTCGGCCGCCAAACAGATTCATGCCATGACTATGAACCTGGCCGCTCCACGTGGACTTTTATAATGTTGTTATGTGGGTTGTGATTGCTGCAATACCATGTCAAGAGAGGAACGCTTTGACAACTCATCTTCCCATTTGTAAGCACGTGAATTGGAGCCATAGTCCGAGTGGTTTACAAGACAAGATTGGTGATGAGTGGAAGAAGAAGAAGATGAAAGGGATGGCCGAGTTGTTATTCGAGATGCAGAAAATGGAATAGCTTGGGCATAGTTTGATATACTTTACGTTTCAACACCCTGGAGAGAAAGATAAAGTGGAGGAAACAACCAAACAAGTGGCGGAACTGGCCGAGGTTTGTCGGAGAATGGAAGAAGGGTTGGTCATTGGTGCCTTTGCAGATGCTGATAACGGAAGTGTTTCATAGGATGATAAGAAGCAGAAATGAGATTCTTGATGTGTCGGACCAAGGCGCCAAATCATCTGCGCCGGTCGTGTAACAATGTCAGACATTTTTGTGAATCGATCTCTTGGTCCGAAGCAGGGTGTCGAAGTTAATTTAACATAGGTTTCAGGTACCATGGTTCTGGTGAAGCACGCATTTATTACTTTGTGTAGTGTTTTTTTTAAGCTGTGGCCCTTCGTTTAACATGGTAACCATTGTTTGATTTGAGTAGAGAAGCTTCGAGGCGAGTGTAAATACTTTAACTACTATATAACATTTTTGTATTCGACTGAGAGTTTCTCACTGTGCTGAATGTAAATGTATGTTTGATTAACATTTTCATATGCTCTTCTTGGCTGAACTTTGTTTTAGCCTTCTTGGACAATTTGGAAATGGGAACCATTTGAGCAGGAGAAAACAAACCTGAGACAAGTTTGCAGATTTTGATTAAAAATTGAAACTTTAAGAATTAAAGTATTTAAAAAAACTGAAAATAATTATTTTGAAAAACGTTAGGAACTAATTTTAATAGTATGATCAAGACAATTGGGTTGGGCATATTCCGGCTTTCTCCCAGATAATAGGCAGAGCCCTCGAATGGTGAAATGCAGCTAACTAGGCAGGTCGCCGACTCTTATCTGAACATCGGGTGCCCAATTTCCCATCTGTCAAAAGATCACTGGTGCTGGGCTGATTGCTTAACCATCCTTAAAGGCCTAAAGAGTAGGCCTGTAAAAGAGCTGAACGTTCAGTAAATCGTTTGTGAACCGTGCGGCGGGAAGTTCGTTTCTGTGCGTTTATTTATTAAATGAACGAACATGAACAAGATTTTGTGTTCGTTTAATTAAATGAACGAATATGAACATAGGTCTCGTTCGTTCATTTACGTTCGTGAATGTTCAGTTATGTTCGTTCAGTTATGTTCGTTTATGTTTGTTCGGTTATGTTCGTTTATGTTCATTTATTTATATTTAATCCAATCTTCTTAAATCAGTTTTGGTGACTAATTTGTAAGTATCTTAAAAATATTAATTAATCTGATATTCTGATGACCAACTCCATAATTAACCCAATTTTATTTGAAAAACCCAACAATATTAACATGGTTTAGTTCTTTTTGAACGATCCATAAACTGCATACCCAACACCGTCAACATCCATTGCGTCGGAACCCTATTTGACTGCGCCACCAATTGGTTATCTGATGAACAAAAAGGAGTCCCAGAAACCGGTTGCTTTCAAAACCAAGTCCAAAGGTGATGGATTCCAGAAGGGATGTTAAGTATTTAGCGTCGTTTCTTCTACTCAAATAATATTCTTTTCTTTCATATATAATGGAGTATTCGAATTTACAAGTAAATAGTTATCATCCATCAACTCAAGTCAGTTTACTTTGAACTCAAGAATCCAATAATCGAGCTCTTAATTTTTTTTTGAGTTCGAGCATTTTCGAGTTCGAGTCGAGTTTTAATATTATATTTCGAGTTCGAGTCGAGCTTGATAATTTTAAGCTCGTGAGTTTTCGAGTCGAGTCAAGCTGACTTTGAAAGTTTTCGAGTTCGAGTCGAGCTCAACAATACTTGAGCTCGACTCGTTTACACCCCTAGGTAGGGTCTCCAATGTTTATGTTCATTTATGTTCGTGTTCATTTATGTTCGTGTTCGTTTATGTTTGTGTTCGTTTATGTTCGTTTATTTATTAAATGAACGAACATGAACAAGTTATATTCCTTAATAAACGAACATGAACAAAAAACATTTTGTTCGTTTATGTTCGTGTTCGTTTATGTTCGTTTATTTATTAAATAAATAAACATGAATATACCTCAATTCGTGTACGTTCGATTCGTTTACAGGCCTATTAAAGGGGTTTCGAATCGGCATAGTCTCATGCCCCTTGGCTCCCTTCTAGAGCCAAAGTCGCCTCAATAATTAATAAACTTATCATTTTCCGGAGTTTTCTCTCACTACTAAAACACCTTCAAATAACATGTCCCAAGGTCCGATCTTCCACTTAAACCTGCTGCTGCTACTGTAATTGCTGATCTTTATATCAAATTTCACTTCTTTTTCTAAGTATTTTCTCCTTTCATTCTTTCTTTTTACAGCTCGAAAAGTAATGGGGAGTTTATCGAACTCGCTTCAACTTAAGCACGGACTCGCTCTCTGGTGCCCTCATTCTTCTTCTTTCACTCGTTCTCGCCCTTCCCCGTGCATCCGGTTCAGAAGCTTCACCAGACACTTCGTCGTTTCCTCTTCTTTTTCTAATGACAACCGAGAGTTAGTTTCTCTGAATCAAAGCTTTTTTTTTTCCGATTTCCAATTTGGCTAACAATTCCACGTTTATATAACTTGATGGAATTTGGGTTGTTCATTTTTTCCGGCATCTGATAGAGTTGTGATCGTTGGAGGAGGCAATGCTGCTGGGTATGCAGCGAGGACATTCGTCGAACATGGTATGGCCGATGGCAGGCTCTGTATTGTGTCTAAAGAGGTGATTTCCATATCCTATTTTGCATTTTTTGAATGATTCTTTTATTATGTAGTGGTTTTGATTTTGGGCTTTTGATTTGATGTTGTTAAAATTTTGCAGGCATATGCACCGTATGAGAGACCGGCTTTGACAAAGGGCTACTTGTTTCCTAAAGATAAGAAGCCAGCTCAATTACCTGTAAGAATCTTCAGCACATCTCCTTTTTTTAAAAAAAAAAAAATAACTTGAATTATGTATTTTGTGCTTGTTAAGAATTGTGAGTGAATGAGTCTTTTTTTCCCACGTTGGGTCATTTTGAGAGTATTTTATTGCATTTATGTGATTTTTAGATGAAGTTATGTTGCAAGTTCATTTTCTCAATGATTAGAACTTCAAACCTATTCAGGTGTAGTTTTCTGTGGGCTTGAACGTTTTCATGCTTGTAATATGTTATATATTGTTTTGATTGTTTCACATTGAATCATAATAGGGTTTTCATACTTGTGTTGGATCTGGTGGTGAAAGGCAAACTCCTGAATGGTACAAAGAGAAAGGGATTGAGGTATTTCTTCTAGCTGATTTTGATATGTCTTTCGTAACCTTTAACTTGGTGAGCTGAGAAACAGATGTTTACTTGTTCTAACCTTCTCCCCTGCTTCTCTTTTATAATTAGATGATTTATGAGGATCCAGTAACGAGTATTGATACTGAAATGCAAACCCTAACGACTAGTTCAGGCAAATTGCTGAAGTATGGATCTCTTATAATTGCTACAGGATGTACAGCCTCAAGGTATGCTTATCGGTTTGCATTGGCCTCCCATTTAGTTGTCCTAGATTATACACATAAACTAGTAAAACGGTAAAGAAGTAGTCACTGATTTCTTGATGTATTTATTTCAGATTTCCAAATAATATAGGTGGTAGCCTTCCTGGTGTGCACTATATTCGGGATGTTGCAGATGCCGACTCACTAGTCTCATCTTTGGTACTTTAAAGAGCTCCTTTAACTCACATATTTCCTATATGGTTCCTATATGGTTGATAAAACTTTTTTTAATATTTAGGAGAAGGCACATAAGGTGGTGATTGTTGGTGGTGGTTATATTGGGATGGAAGTTGCTGCTGCTGCCGTTGGCTGGAAACTTGATACTTCGGTAATTAATTTTATTTGGTAAATTTACTTTTTTGAATTATTAATGAAACCAAAACAAACAGTTGCGTTTCTTCTGTAGTTTTTCTTTATGGTCTTAACTCTGGTGTCACTCCTGATATCTTGAAAACTGAGAGTGAAAAGTTTCTTTATGTTTCAAGAAATGTATATATTTGGAGTTTGACACAAACATGTGCAATTCTGCATGAGCCTGTGCACGAGATTATATATTTTGTAATGACTTGCTGAGCTTTAATTCAGTATCCTTTTGCTCCTAATGTAGATCATTTTCCCAGAGAATCATCTTTTGCAAAGACTATTCACTCCTTCTCTTGCTCAGAGGTATGAAGAGCTATACAAAGAGAACGGTGTCAAATTTTTAAAGGTACTAACTCTATGAGTGTCTCTTTTCTCTTACACATGCTGCAATCTGAATTTGTGTGCAGCAAAGTTCATTATTTTGAAATTGGTTTTCAGTTAGCCGCCAATAAACACCTGAACTTAATTAAAACCTGTGACTGTTAAACCACTGACCAGGGTGCTTCTATCAAAAACTTAGAAGCTGGTTCTGATGGAAGGGTAGCTGCTGTTAAACTTGGAGATGGATCTACTGTAGAAGCTGACATGGTAACTATTTTGTTATAAGTAAAACTCTTGTTTTTTCTTCTTATTTGTTAGTGGTGGGAGAACTAGGCAAGTTGTCCTTTTATCCAATATTTTCATCATTCTGCAGGTAGTTATAGGTATTGGAGCAAAACCTGCAGTTAGTCCCTTTGAAGCGGTAGGGTTAAATTCTACTGTTGGTGGCATACAGGTGAGCATCATCTTTATTTTGATCGAATTATTTTTTCCTTGATACTACATATTACAATTAACTTTAATGCATTATTATTCATGTATCTAGTAATATACATAAATATTTTATGATATTGTTGTCACTTTATGCAGGTAACCGACTTGTTGTACTAGTATATTTTATATGCCTTGATGAACTTCTTTTATGTTTTTCTTACATTTTCTATTGTTTACTGTTAAGAAGACCACCAGAATTTTTTTTTCTCATGCCTTTTATGATCATGGTTGAGATTCTGATTGTTTCTTGTCGAGTATGTGAATATGATGATTGATGTCTTCCTATAAAAAAAAAATGATGATTGATGTCTGAACATGAACCAGGTTGATGGTCTGTTCCGGACAAGCGTACCTGGAATCTTTGCAGTGGGAGATGTTGCAGCATTCCCCCTTAAGGTACAATATTTTCAAATCAATATTCATTTTTCCTTTCAAGATCTGCAAAAGTACACATTTTATCATGACAGATGTATGACCGCATGGCACGAGTTGAGCATGTTGATCATGCTCGTCGATCTGCACAACATTGTGTTAAGGCATTACTTAGTGAACAAACTCACACGTATGTAACGGTCTATCCCTTTTGTTCCTCAAGCCAAATTTCTATGATGTTGATACATGCAGTGTCGCTCTTTAATTCTGAAAAGGTGACGACTTGCATCATTACCTGTTTTTGTTTTCCAGATATGATTATCTGCCCTACTTTTACTCTAGGGTTTTTGAGTATGAAGGGAGCCCCAGGAAAGTTTGGTGGCAGTTTTTTGGAGACAACGGTGAGAATATATTTTACTTTGCATTTCTAACAGTACATGTAAAAAATATATGTTATCTCACTTTTCAATTATAACCTTTTTGGCCAGTTGGAGAGACAGTTGAGATTGGAAATTTTGATCCCAAAATTGCTACTTTCTGGATAGATAATGGTAATGGAACTTCTTAAAGTCCTCTCTTTCCCCCTCTCCATTTTCTGTTACACTTTTGACCAAGAAAGATTGAACTTTTTCTTAATGACCTTACAGGTAAATTGAAAGGAGTTCTTCTTGAAAGTGGAAGTGCTGAGGTAGTTTCCTTTACAGGATTTCCATGCCACTTGGCATTGTTGGTTGTATCATTGAGATTGTTTACTCATGTTGAATTTAGGTTATGTCTAAGAGAGGTAAAAAAAAAGTGATGCAATGAAGAAAGTGCTACAATACAAGTAAACACGGTGTTTATACAAACCATCTATTCCTCATAAAGTATATATGTTTTAAGTAAGTTGATCTTTTCAACAGAAAAAACGAAATAATATATGGAAAAAAGGAAAGTAACTGTAGATTTCAGTTTTGAGTTTGACATGTATGAAATAATAATATAGTTTGTAGGAGATGCACTGTCTTCGGTGTTGGATCAACTTTCAGTAAGAGATGGTGCTTTGAGACGATGATGTCAATATAATATCCTTCTTGGTATTTACACTGCAGAAAAATTAGTTATATTTAGCGCTTCGTGCGAGGTTTAACAGTATGTAATTCATGTTAGATTCACCAGATACACGTTAGTCATTTCATCTGAGATGCTGTATTTACTTTTCATCTTTTGTGCTACGTTATAATAGACTTTGCTCTCAAGGCTCTAAAGGTCACCTTGTTTTGATCATGTTACAGGAATTTAAATTCCTTCCTGAACTTGCGAGGAACCAGCCTTCTATTGACAAAGCCAAGCTTCAAAAAGCCTCTTCAGTCGAGGAGGCACTAGAAATTGCCAAGGCCAACTTATAGTTGAGCAGCAAGCTTAGTTGCACGCAGAACCTCTCCTCGAAAGCACTGGTCCCTGCACAACGTTACCGTCATGTAATAAAATCTTGGAACCTTACCATGAATAATTGTTTGAAACTTGGCATGAAACGAAAGGTATAATCTTGTTTGATATGCAGTGATAAGAGAGATGTACCGCCTAGAAGTTTTGGTAGATGAAAACTACTTCTGGGCGTTTGAGGATCCAATAATAACTGAATCAGTCACCCATTTGCTTGTGTAGTATAACGAGTTACATAATCTTCATCGCAGTCCACACACATAATCTTCATCAATTTGGTCCTTTTCTTAGTATTTTATATAAACAAAAGTAAAATAAGCAACAATAGTATATATGTGCATGAGCAGTGCACACCAATGTTGAGATTTTCCCCACAATATTGCATTTTTGCATGTGGGAAAAGACCCCAAAAAATACAATTGTTGAATGGTATAGGGATTATTTCCATGGCAGAAAATGTAGCAGCTTCTCTAACATAAGTAAATTAAAAGGTTTGTTTTAAGAATTGTATAATATGGTAAAAAGTTTTAGTGGATCAAGCTTAAGTCCTGGCTTGGACGAGTGGCGATTGAGGTAAGGGTGAGTGAGGAGACATGATGCTCTGAGACATGAAATCGTCCTGTCTTCGAGAAAAGCTGAGTTTAAGGCTGCTTCGGCTGCATAATTTACGAGGAACCATGGCCTTGTTGTGTTCAAGCATGAAGGTTCTAATCCTCAACAAAGCAACTTCCATGGTTTGGTCATCCATGTTAGCAAAACATACCCTGAACCAACCTGGCTCATTGCAGTGGAAAGAAGAACCAGGGGAAACATTAAGCTTAACTTCATTGATTATCACCTGCCACAGATCCATTTCGGCCTCAAACGTCTTCTCCTTCAGGAGTTTACGCAGATCCATCCATATGAACAACCCGGCATTGCTCTTCAAAGAACCAATACCAACTTGAGAAAGACTCCAAGTGAAATACTTGTGCCTTCTGAATAACCGCTCTTTGCTTTCCATAATGAAATTATCAACAAAATCGTCGTCGGATAGCATCGATGCGATTAAATGCTGGGTTTGTGTGGAAACCAGTCCAAAGCTGGACATTTTCCGAGCACAGCTCACCACTGCATCGTTGTATGAGTAGACAATGCCAACTCTGAAACCAGGGAACCCCATGTCCTTGGAAAGGCTATACACAATGTGTATGAGATCACGATTACACTCCACTTCCTCGAGAATCTCCGAAATACTAACGAACTCAGGCTCCATGAAAACTGTGGCAGCGTATATCTCATCACCAATCAAATGTATGTTCTTTTCATTTATGAACTCTATAATACCCTTCAATGTCTCTCGATCCAAGATTGTGCCCAGGGGATTTGATGGATTGGTTATGAGCAAACCCTTGACTCTCAGGTTAGCTTCTTTGGCCTTTTCATATGCAGTTTCCAGGGCGTTTGTAGTGATCTTGAAATCATTGGAACTCTCACAAACGACCGGAACAAGTTCAACCCCTGTTCTCCACCTCAAGTCACGATCAAATCTGCAAATCAGAGGGAAATGTCATTGATCAATTTTCAAAAGCTCAAATTAGTCAAACTCATTCTAAGCCTTAATCCCATCAGCTACATGTTTTACTTATCTAAGATTGGTTCTATATACATAATTTAAAGGAAAATCCCAGAAAGAAAACGTAAGAAAAATGTCAAAATAATATGGATTACCCTGGATAATAAGGAGTGGGAACCAGAAATGCTTCACCAGGATCAGCCAAGCAAAAGGCAACCATCTCATGAGCTCCGGTTGCGCCACCGCTCATAACAATGCGGTCTGGGTCAAATTTCACTCTGTCTCCCCTCACTTTCCCCATGAATTTTGCAACAGACTGCATATACAACAGTTTCATTAAGTACTGAATTAAGAAGATGAAGCATATGAAAGATTTTGTTAATTATATAACTCGTCATACTTGTCTGAACTCAGGCATCCCATGATAATCCTGGAAAAGAGCAGTCTCCTTGAATTTGTTTACACCTTGAGCACTGCAGAGGGAGGCCTCTGGATGTTTCACGACCCACTTTTTGATGAAGTTGAAGCAAAGCTGAAGAGGTTAAAGAGCAAAAACACCTTCAGTTTCTTCATATAGATAGCAGCCAAGTTACCACAAAATGCAGGGGGGTTTATATTTTACCTGATTCTCAGCTAGACCCATCTGAATAACTCCATCGGGTCTATCCGTTGGGTGAAAAGGGTTGGTCTCATATGCCTTCCATCCATCGAAATAAGGAGAGTTTTCACCATGACCATTGCCAGTAGCAATCTTAGACATAGCAACCATCTTCTTCTTTTAACTATAAAGAATATAACTTTGGTTTGGGATGGTTTATAGAGAAAGAACAAATTAGCTTTGGAGATGAAAACAAGTTCACAAATGATTGAAAGAAAAAAAAAACAAAAGAATAGGTTAGCTTTGGCGAGTGAGTTGAAATGCTGGAGGAATTGTGGATTGTTTCTGGTTTGCCTGTGCTGGGGACTTGCGCAAAGCAAAGGTATTTATAGTGTTAATATCCCTACAAGTCTATGTGGATGGGGTTTATCTCAGAAAGTTCCATGTAGGATCAACAATACACATCTTTCACAGAATTAAAACACAATTTACGAGCTCAAACTACAGTTGTACTTCTTTCCCTCCGTCAGTTCATTGGACATAAACGGATGGAAGTTTTTACGACGAATTTCTAAAATTTTAAGAGATTATATAAACTAATAAAATTCTTGGGGTCAAAACATATTACCAATATAAAATATAAAAAAATTTAAAATATATGATAATTTAAAATTTTAGAGGTGATTGCCCCGACTGTCTCCTTCAGTCCATCCCTAAATAAATTGAATTGAAGAGCGACATGTGCGATTGTACCCATTATAAATTCAAATTCTCATATAATTTAAATATTCTTTTATATTTTTATTGATAATCAAAGTTGTAAACATGAAATTTTGTAATTTCACATTTTTTACGTTTGTACCCGATACAAAATCTTGGGTTTTCTCTTAATTTAGACAAGCCTTAAATGAACTAAACCAATACCGTCCCATGTGATAATCACATACCACATTTCTTACGCTAATTTTCGCCATTTTTTTCAATGATAAAATGACACCACTTCATCTCCCTCCCTCCCTCCCTCTTTCTGGTTTATCTATTTCCTATATATGTTAAAAAAAACTATTCTCTTAATTAGAGAGACAGACATACAGTTTGACAGGTTCATGAGTCTAAGCTTTTGTATGTCTCATGTAATTAACACGTTTAATATTTTAATTAATACTTATCCCAAAACAGGTATTATTTTAATGAAGTCAAAACATTTGGTTGCTGGTAGTGGAGGTTTGAAAATTATTAATCTGGTTCAATAACACTAGAAGCTATTGTGTTTGAAATGGTCGAAGCATGAGTGGAGGAGAGTTTATATTAAATAAATGATAATCATAAGAAATAAAAGGAATTGGAGTCAGAAAAAGAGATATGGGATTGGGTTGGCCAAACTTTGTGTTCAACAAATCATGTGAAATTCATGCAACTCATTCATGTTGATGTTTCAATGGTGAAGCCTTGAGAAAGAATGGTTCAAAATTCAAACAAGGAGTCACTAAAGTTGAACACGCGAGGGCAGCCATTAGTAAGAATAAGGAATTGAAGAACATGGGAAATTTTGACCAATTTAGGATTTTAATTGTATTCACAAGTTGTGTTTTTTTCCTTCTTTCGAACTTCATAAGACTGTTGACCAATTTGGAAACTGTTGCCCGTCAAATCTTTTACCATCATTCTTCTACTTGCTGGACCAACTAAATACATCAAGTTGTTACACTGAGCAATGTCTAAGCAGGACCACATTATGTGCCTTGATACTTGATTTTCACCAAGGCTGTCAGCTTTACTCATGGGTCTTCGCTTTAGGATTCACAAAAAATGGTCGGCTCCCAGCAGCCGGGACGATAGCCTCCTTGAGTGGGCCTAGTTCTAGTCTTTGAAGAACTAAGGTGGCATCTGGGTTTCCGATATGAGTCTCAACTGGAATGAATCAGGTTGCACAGCACACGAGCTCATTCACTCTGGTCTCAGTCCATAAAATTTGAGTATATGTATATGTCACGTCCTCAAGAGATGGGGACATTAATCCCACAACAGAAGAAAAAAAAATGATCATGAAGTTTATTAATGGTGACACTGTACATCCTATTAGACATATTTTTAGGAAGGAGAATAATTACCTTAAATACATTTCAACCGAGAAATAAAGCATCTCGGTTTTTTCCTCTTCAGAATTACTCAATACACAGCTCTTAAAAGCATCAATGCGTATAACTTTTAATCAAAAAATCATGTTTACAATGTGCAATTATATGTACATAAACAAATTAAGCTTTTTGAAGGATGATTCATTCCCTTTTTAGGTTCATCGTATTTGTCTCATATAAAGCACAAGGTTCATTGCATTTTGGGGAAGTCACTATCAGAGTCAAAGCATCAGGGTTTTGCTCCACTGAAGCAGTGTCAGTTGCACTTCTCCAACTCCTCAGCAATGCAGATTAGATATATTAATTTGCTTTGTCAATGCATGTAAAACAAACCATTAAATGCTCCGAATTAGTAGAGTTGGTTTTCGTTTCATATTTGGGTTTAACAAACCAGGCAATTCAAATGCATACGATTTCAATAAAAAAAATGCAGCTCAAGAGCAGGGATGGACAAAAAGGATGCAGGTGGGAGCAGTCGCTTCTTTGAAAATTTCAAATTCTCGAATATTTTATATGTTCACCCCTCCTTAAATTTTATATGCTCGCCCCAACATAAAATCATGCATCCATCCCTATTAAGGAGCTTTAAGTCATGAGTTCAAACCTGTGATTATGTTAGAAGTTAGTCTCTGTTTTGTTGAAACAAATTGTTAATTAGTAAATTAAGCAGTTGGTTTACTATTAGTATAAATAAGTAAATGTACTTTCTATCAAACTCAAGTGATTACTCAATGAAATTTTAGAAACCATTTCTTTAGTTCTTTCTAAATTTCATAAATATAATAGGTTACCAAGTGTTGCACATATGCAGATCATTTTAAGATGATATCTTGAATACCTGAATGAACATACATGGATTTAGAATTTCAGCCATGAGACATGGAATGAATAAGAAAAAGAGGATGTATAGAACTGCACATAATACTTCTTGTTATAGTGATAACCTAACTATAAGCTTGATTTGTGCACACAAATTGAACAAGTATGGTATCCCGGTTTACAACAATGAATAAGCCACTTTACGGTTTCTATAACAGACATCTGATATGAGGGGATACATTTACATGAGAACCAAGGAAAAGAAAGAAACCCTCATTAGGAATATGAGGTCGAGGCCCTAACTTGCTTGCATCCATGTTCTGGCATTAGCTGTTCGGTGGCAGCTCTCTTCGGTCTTAACTGCAATGGTGGAGCAGTAAGAGACTGCATGAAATACCCACACCTACTCTAAAATTATATGCATACGTCCATGAGTAAAGAAAATGTTCACAGGAAGATTAAAAAAACTACTCATGATAAAAATTCAAGAGTTTAAGGCAGTTCCTTTATATTTGTAGCTCAGACAGTTCAGAACACACAGAAATAAGATCCTCAACATTTTCATTCCAATTGATAAACTTCAGACTGTTGGGAAATAAACGAGTACAAGTAATTTCCTTATAACCAGATTAGTGAGAATGCAAAATAAAAGCGGAAAAATAATACCCGAAATTGATAACGGAGTTCAGCCAATTTGCTTACGTCTTCGGACTGCTGCAGATCTTTTACTAAGAGAGAAAATTTACAGGTGTTTACAAAACACTCACTACTCACAAGAAAGCTCTCTAGTATCGGGAGAAAGAAATGATTTTGGGATGGTTTTGAAGCTAAATAAGCTAGGGTATTTATAGTTGAAGCTTAAGGACTTAATCTTGTAAATACCATAAAGCTTAGGGATTAATTGTGATTATCCCATTATCATTTTTCAACAAACATCTACCAAACTTTGAAAAACTATTTTTCAAAAAAAAAAATTTACCAAACTTTGAAAACCATTTTTTCAAAGTTGGTTACCAAACTTGAAAACCGTTTTAACAATACTTTCAACAATCTCCCACTTGAAGACTGATTTTAATTTGTCTTCACACCTCGATCGATGCAACAACCTTTCTAGTCTTGTTAATCTAGCATGCCAACTGAAGCTGAACACAACTTTAGTTTATCCGTGGTCACCGTCTTTGTCAACATGTCTGCCGGATTTTGAGCTCCACTAATCTTTTCTAGTTTCAAAATCCCATCTTCCAAAAGAGATCGGATAAAATGATATCGCAATTGTATGTGCTTCGTCCTGAAATGAAAAGACGGATTCTTTGCTAGATGGATAACAATTTGACTGTCGCAATACAAGACATTGTTTTCTTGTTTCTTGCCTAACACTTCTAAGAAACTTTGGAGCCAAACCATCTCCTTGCTGGTTTCCGTAACAGCAACATATTCTGCTTCAGTTGTGGAGAGAGCAACTATCTTCTGTAGTTGATAAACCTAACTCACTGCAGTTCCTTCTAGGGTATAGACATACCCTGTAGTGCTTCTTCTGATGTCGACATTTCTGTCTAAGTCAGCATCTACATAGCCTGTCAGTATCGTATCTCCATATTTGAAACAAAGTGATTTGTTTGTAGTACCCCGCAGATATCTGAGGATCCATTTGACAGCTTCCCAGTGTACCTTGCCTAGATTATTCATGTACCTGCTAACAGCTCCCACTGCATGAGCAATATCTGGTCTAGTACAAACCATGAGATACATTAGACTTCCAATTGCTGAGGTATACGACACCTTCACCATGTGTGCACGTTCTTACTTCGTCTTTGGCGATTGTTCTTTGGAGAGTCTAAAATGAACACCTAAAGGTGTACTTACTGGTTTAGCATCTTGCATGCTGAACCTGGAGAGTACTTTGTTGATGTACTCAGCCTGTGATAACATCAAAGTCCCCGACTTTGTGTCTCTCTTAATCCTCATCCCAAGAATCTGTTTTGCAGTGCCCAGATCCTTTATAGCAAACTACTTCGACAATTTTTGCTTCAAGTTTATAATCTCTTGCATGTCTGAGCCTACAACGACCATGTCATCAACGTACAATAATAAAATAATGAAGCTATTGTCGAACCTCTTGATGTAGCAACAATGATCTGCTTGGCATTTGGTAAAACCACTGCTACTCATGAAGCTATCGAACTTCTTGTACCATTGTCTAGGAGCTTGTTTTAAACCATACAAACTCTTCTTCAACCTGCATACCAGATTTTTCTTGCTTGCCTCTATGAAGCCTTCTGGCTGCCTCATATAGATTTCTTCCTCCAAATCACTATTAAAGAAAGTTGTCTTTACATCTAACTGCTCAAGATGTAGATTTTCTACAGTTATAATTTTCAATATCAGTCTGATTGTAGACAGTTTCACGACTGGAGAGAAAATTTCATTGTAGTCAATACCTTCTTTTTGCTGAAAACCTTTGATAACCAATCTTGCTTTGTAGCGTTTGCTCCCATCTTGCTCTTCTTTGATCCTGTAAATCCACTTGTTGTAGAGCTCTTTCTTGCCTGGTGGTAATTCAGCTAATTCCCACTTCTGATTTGACATAAGTGAGTCTATCTCATCTTTCATGGAAGACTCCCACTTGACTGAATCCTCCACTTGCATTGCTTCATCATAGCACTCTGGTTCACCATTTTCAGTTAGCGACAAGTAGTGCAAAGAAGGAGAATACTGCTGGGTTGGTTTAGGAACTCTGGAGGAGCGTCTTAGTTCCGGTGTGCCTGGTTCTTCTTGAACTGCTTCAGGACTGATCTGAACATCATTTCCAGAAATCTCCTCGAACTCAGCAAATTCCTTTGTTTCAACTTCAGTGTTTGAGATACTTGATTTTAAGGTTGATCTGTCTTTGTACATCACATTCTCATTGAAAATGACATCTCTGCTTCTGATGATCTTCCGATTTTCATAGTCCCAAAATCGATAACCGAACTCATCACCGCCATAACCAACAAAGGAACATTTGTTGGACTTAGCATCAAGTTTACTTCTTTCAGCAGAGTCTATGTGTACATAAGAAATACAACCAAACACTCTTAAGTGTGAAAGATTTATTTCTTTCTTGCTCCAAACTTCCTCTGGTATTCCGCCATCTAAGGGAACTGAGGGCCCACAGTTGATCAGGTAAGCTGCAGTGTTGATAGCTTCAGCCCATAGCAATTTGGGCAAGCCGACGTGTATCCTCATGCGTCTGGCACGTTTATTCAGAGTTTTGTTCATGCGCTCTGCTATGCCATTCTGTTGCGGTGTCATGTGAACTATTCTCTCCATCTTGATCCCATTGTTTGCGCAAAATTCTCTGAATCTACTATTTTTGTACTCTCCTCCATTATCAGACCTCAACCGCTTGACTTTCAAACCAGTCTCGTTTTCCACCATGGCCTTCCATTTTCTGAAGGTATCAAAGACTTCTAATTTCTTCTTTAGAAAATAAACCCACACCTTCCTTATTGAATCATCGATGAAGGTGACATAATATAGCGAGCCTGCAAGGAATGTAACTGGAGATGGTCCCCATACATCAGTATGAACCAACTCTAACTTTTCTGCCTTGAGTGTCTTACCAATCTTTGCAAAACTGACTTTCTTTTGTTTGCCAAAGATGCAATCTTTACATAGTCCGACATCTACATTCTTTAGATCCGACAACTTCCCTTTTGACAAAAGTGTCTTCATCCCTTTCTCGCTCATATGGCCAAGCCTTTGATGCCATATGTTTGATTTTCCATCAACATCTGCTGCAGCAATGATATTCTCTAAATTTGATGTTACATAGAGAGTACCAGTCTTCTTACCACGAGCAATAACGAGTGCTCTTTTGGTAATCTTCCATTCATATCCTGAAAATGTTGTGCTATATCCTTTTTCATCAAGCTGTCCTACAGAAATCAAATTTATTTTGAGGCTAGGAATATGTCTCACTCCCTTCAACGTCCAGGTGGTCTAGTTTGACAACTTTAATCGAATGTCTCATTTTCTGATGATCTTCAAGGTTTCATTATCAGCTAGATGAACCCTCCCAAAATCACCATTGATATAGTTCTCCATGATTTCTTGGCATGGGGTGGAGTGGAAAGATGCCCCTAAATCCAAGATTCATGATTCAATTGGACTGTTGACGCTTAGAATCATGGCATCACCTGTATCCTCTGTCACGTTGACAGACTCCTGTGCGCCGGTATCTTTCTTCAGTGCTCGACAGTCTCTTTTAAAGTAACCCTTCTTGCCACAATTATAACAGGTAAAATCTTTCTTTCCCGTTCTGGATTTTCCCCGTCTGGATTTCGATCTGCCACGATTTGAAATTTCTTTATGAAGTTCTCCCTCTAGACTCCGTGTGCAAGGCTGAGGAGCTTGATGCTTCACCCGATTCTCTCCGTCGAATTTCTTCACTCAATACTAGATCCCGAACATCGTCAAATTTCAATTTGCTGTTTCCCGACGAACTTCTAACTATTATAACAGTAGCATTCCAACTGTCTGGTAGAGATGATAAGAGAATTAAAGCTCGAACTTCATCATCGAATTTAATTTCCACAGAACTCAACTGGGTTGTGATTGTGTTGAGCTCATTTAGGTGTTGAGCCACCGATGCCCCTTCCGTCATCTGCAAATTGAATAATCACCTCATCAAATGAACTTTGTTTGAGGCCGATGGCATCTCATACATACTGGAGAGAGCTGCCATAAGACCCATCGTGGTCTTTTCCTTTGCTATGTTGAAAGCAACATTGCGGGATAACGTCAGTCGGATAACTCCGAGGGCTTGTCTGTCGAAAAAAACCCAGTCTTTGTTCTTCAGGCCCTCTGGTTGCTTTCCTGAGAGAGGTTGATATAGATTTTTCTGGTACAAAAAATCTTCAATCTGCATTTCCAAAAGCCAAAGCCCGCACCATCGAACTTTTCAATTTTCACATTCTCTTCGTCTACAGCCATCGCTCCCACTCAAATCTGGCTTCGTTTGGATCGTTTCTGACAATTCTTGCGAACCACCGTGTATTAGAACACCTCCGTCGATAAATTCGTATCGCCGACAATTTTTTTTACTATTCACGAAATTCACTATTCATGTGAATGGTAATGAATAGTAATCTCGCAAAAAAATGACAAAATTCACAACCAAAAACTCTGATTACCAGTTGTTGGAAAATAAACGAATACAAGTAATTTCCCTATAACCAGATTAGTGAGAATGTGAAATAAAAGCGGAAAAATAATACCCGAAATTGATAACGGAGTTCAGCCAATTTGCTTACGTCTCCGGACTGCTGCAGATCTTTTATTAAGAGAGAAAATTTACAGGCGTTTACAAAACACTCACTACTCACAAGAAAGCTCTCTAGTATTGGGAGAAAAAAAATAATTTTGGGATGGTTTTGAAGCTAAATAAACTAGAGTATTTATAATTGAAGCTTAAGGACTTAATCTTGTAAATACCCTAAAGCCTAGGGATTAATTGTGATTATCCCATTATCATTTTTCAAGAAATATCTACCAAACTTTGAAAAACTATTTTTCAAAGAAATATTTACCAAACTTGAAAAACTATTTTTTCAAAATTGGTTGCCAAACTTGACAACCATTTTAACAATACTTTCGACACATGCGACAATTTAAATGATTTGAGTGATATAATCATTATATTCTGATTATAAATCTTCGTTCTTTGTTGACATTCAAACAAAACTGACCCAGGATGAACAATTCTATGAACTCCATTCAACACAATAACAATTCTATACCATTTGGACCTTTCAACTACTTTGAGCTTGTTGGATATATGAACTGCAAAACTACACCGTTAGCACTGACTGAAAATATAAACAGTAATTAAGAAGAACAGATTCGTAAACCGTGTCGTGGTAAGAACCACTGCCTTAGAAACGAATTCGCCTCGATGTGTGTAATCGCTGCAGTAGGCGGACCGTCCCCCGAGGTTAACACGGTCGCTCCGAATTCCGTACACCCGAAACCGGAGTGGACTGCTGGTGGTATTGCACTTCTGATCGGAAAGCACTCAGAGAGAACTCATAGAAAGAACTTTAGAAAACACTTTGTAAGTGAATTGTAAATGTTTTGGAGTGAGTTGAGAAGCTGAATATAGCTCTCTATTTATAGGCTAGAAATAGGGTTAAAATCGTCCATAAAATTTCAGGATTAAACCTCTTATTTGTAACAGCTGAAACGTCTAGATGAACCTGACTCAGAAATAGTCCAGGTTCATTGTATCATTATTCAGCTGTTATAACTCCCGAAATTATATCATGTAACCCCTGGAATTAAATCAAATAACTCCTGTAACTCATGATATTAACATCTTGTCTCCTCTGTACAAAGCTGTAAATCAGTCCAGGTACATCTTAACGTTTCTGATTTAATTTAGGAATAAATTGTTTAATTTCTTATAAAAAAAAATAATTCAGCTGTTATTATTTGAAATTCAAACAGTCCTCAGCAGCCTATAAATATCAGTTGATATCTTTCACATTTTCCATTTGTTTCTTTCAAAGAGAAATTCCTCAAGAATTTTCTCTAAAAAGATAGTATCCGCGCGGACGTGTCGAAGACACGTATTACCACGACCACGACCACGACCACGACCACGACCACGACCTCGACCACGACCACGACCACGACCACGACCACGAGCCGAGCCGTGCCGTGCCGAGCCGAGCCGAGACGAGACGAGACGGACGGACGGCGGCGGCGGTGCGCGAGAGCCCCCCTTGTTCTCTATCACTCAACAAGAAAGTGGAATGTCAAGCCTTAAATACCATTCCCAATAGTGTTTCCAACACTATGTGGGATTGAGCATTACCAACATTCCCCCACTAATGCGAAAGAAATCTTCTGAAACTCGAAAACAAGCTTTCCAGAAGAGTAATAGCGAGATTAGTTGCTTAAGCACTAGTGAACATATCTGGAACTAGTACATAGTGATGATGAGCAATCCTTCTCTTAGATAAGTGAAACTAGTCTGGAACTTTCTAAGATCAGGGTAAACTCATAACACACAACTAACCCCTTCATCCACCTGAGTCCTCGATGTGTAAGATATATATATATACAAACGTATATATTTGGCCATCTTACCTCAGGATTCTAGTAAGTGTGCTAGAAAAATAGCCCAACATTTTTCATAGAAGGCGGCTAACCCTTCTCACTTACATAGGTTATTTCATCAAGTTTATCTCAACATAAACCACCCTTTAAAAAGGAATATGAAATAATTAAGAGCTTTTATAATAGCTCAACCTCACAAAGGGTTTGGTGACTTTTTTCAAGTTCATTATAAATGAACCACCCAAACTCTGGGCTAAAAAGTCATTAAGAATAAATATTCAACCTCATTTATCGGTAAATTCAATAAGTCCTTCTCACTAGAACCATCCAAATACTTGGATTTGAATTTATTAAGAGTTTAACAAACTCAACCTTTCTGTTGGTAAGTTCATCATTTCCTACCCACTCACTCTGGGTTATGAACTTATTAAGAATAGATATTCAGCCAAAATCGGTAAATTCATCAAGTCTTTCTCACTAAGACCACCCAAAGCCTGGGCTATGAATTTATTAAGAGCAATTAAGCTCATCCTGGGCATGCACATTATTCATCATAGGGATAGACAGTAGGAATGTGCACTATGAGTCTTTCCATGGTTTCGTTTGACCACATGGAACTTAGATAACTAAGTTGGGTATCCACCATGAATTCCTCAACCAATGGGCTTTAGACCCATCCCCCTCGACGAATCTAGGACCAGCTTCCGACTTAACCCTTTGGTAAGTGGATCTGCTAGGTTCCTTTCCGACTTCACATACTCTAAAGAGATCACTCCATTCTTTATCAAGTGTCTAACTGATTCATGTCTTATGCGAATGTGTCTTTTCTTACCATTGTAAGCTTGGTTCTTAGCCACACATATTGCAGCTTGTGAATCACACAACAATGAAACTGGAGGAGTCGGTCTTCCCCACAACGGAATATCTGCTAACAAGCTTCTGAGCCACTCGGCTTCTTGCCCAGCTAGGTCAAGAGCTATAAACTCTGACTCCATGGTAGAACGAGCAATACAAGTCTGCTTTGATGATTTCCACGAGATCGCTGCTCCACCCAAAGTAAAAACATACCCGCTCGTAGAGCTTACCTCATCATTATCAGAAACCCAGTTGGCATCACAATATCATTCCAATACCGCAGGAAAGCCAACAAACTCAAGTTTCCAATTCACAGTACCCTTAAGATACTTCAGTAAGCGTTTAAGCGCAATCCAGTGCTCACCACTCGGATTATGAGTATATCTACTTAGTCTACTCACAGCATAAGCAATATCAGGCCGAGTATAGTTCATTAAGAACATTAAACTTCCGATTAATTTAGCATATTCAGTTTGGGAAACACTACTTCCTTTATTCTTAACTAGATGTATGCTAGGGTCATAAGGAGTTCGAACAGGGACGACATCAAAACTGTCAAATTTCTTTAGCACTTTCTCTATATAATGTGCTTGACATAAAGAAAATCCCTTCTCAGTTTTGGTAACTTTGACTCCTAAGATTACATCTACTTCTCCCAAATCTGTCATCTCAAACTTAGTGGACAAGAAATTTTTAACTTTGTTAATGGACTCAATGTTAGAACTGAAAATCAACATGTCGTCAACATAAAGACTTATGATAACACATTCAGTTTCAAACATCTTCGAATATACACAAGCATCCGAACCATTCACAACAAAACCAAAACTAAGAATAGTTTTATGAAATTTCTCATACCACTGTTTAGGAGCCTGCTTAAGTCCATAGAGTGACTTTTTGAGTCTACAAACTTTGCCTTCCATACCAGGTGCCTCAAAACCTAGTGGCTGCTCCATGTAAATCTCCTCATCTAGTTCCCCATTCAAGAAAGCAGTCTTAACATCCATTTGATGTACCTGCAACTTATGAATAGAGGCTAGTGCAAATAATGCACGAATCGTTGAGATTTTTGTAACGGGAGAGTATGTATCAAAGTAGTCTAAACCAAACCTTTGAGTGAACCCTTTGACGACTAACCTTGCCTTGTACCGCTGAATCGAACCATCTGGCCTTAGTTTCTTCCGGAAGACCCATTTGTTGGAGATTGGTTTGAATCCCTTAGGCAAGTCAACTAATTCCCAAGTATGATTAGACATTATCGATTCTAGTTCATCATTAACAACGCTTTTCCAAAAACTAGCATCGATAGATCTTATAGCTTCTTCAAAAGTTTTAGGATCCTCATCTAATAGAAAAATTTGAGCTATAGGATCTGAAATGAAGTCTAAATCATTTATCTCAGAAATAAAGGAAGTAATAAAGTCTGGTCCAAAAGAGGTTTCAATTCTTTGCCTTTTACTTCTTCTAGGCTCAAAATCAATTTGTTCAAAAGACCTAGCAGGATTACTAGAAGAAGTTGATGGAATATATTCTATTTGTGTTTCAATATTTATTCTCAGTTCCTTTAAAGGAAAAGTATTTTCAAAGAAAACAACATCTCTTGATTCACAAATAGAATAATCTTGTAAAAGCATGAATCTGTATGCAGCACTATTCGTAGTATACCCTATAAACACTGCATCAACGGTTTTAGGTCCGATGGTGGACTTCTTAAAGTCTGGCAAGCCCACTTTAGCCAGACACCCCCACACTTTCAGGTATTGTAAATTAGGAGCGTATCTTTTCCACAATTCATATGGGGTAGAATCTAATTTCTTATGAGGAACTCGGTTCAAGATATGAGTTGCCGATAGAATGGCCTCCCCCCATATGTTATCAGATAACCCGGAACTTATTAGTAAAGAATTCATCATCTCTTTTAAAGTTCTATTTTTCCTTTCGGCTATATCATTCTGTTGAGGAAAATAGGGGGCTGATGTTTCATGAATTATGCCATTCTTTTCACAAATATCTTTTAAGAAATTAGATCCATATTCACCACCTCTATCAGATCTAACCCGTTTGATTCTCCTATCTAACTGATTTTCAACTTCTGCCTTATAAATAAGAAAGAAGTTTTCAGCTTCATCTTTAGTTCTTAGGAGATAAACTTTTGTATATCTTGAATAATCATCTACAAAAGTTATGTAGTAGTGTTTTCCTCCTTTACTTTCAGTGTTTCTAAAATCTGTTAGATCAGTATGAATAAGTTCTAACAGTTCAGTCTTTCTATTAGAAACAGTCTTAAAGTGAGGTCTAGTATGCTTAGCTTCTACACAAATCTCACATTTGTTAAAGCTAGTTGTGTCTAGTTTAGGCAGAACATTCATATTCATTAATTTCTTTAAAGCATGAATATTCACGTGTCCTAATCTAGCATGCCACATATCAATGGATTCAACAATATAAGCAGAAGTGGTAGCTTTATTTTCATTAAATTGAGTTTCTATGACAAATAAACCATTGCTTAAAAACCCTTTCCCCACATAATCACCATTTCGGGAAAGTACAAGTTTATCTGCCTCAAAAACTAACTTAATGCCTGCCTTATTCAGAAGCCCACCACTTATCAAATTTCTACGCAAGGCAGGTACATACAGAACATTATTTAAAGCCAGAGTTTTACCAGAAGTCAGCTTGAGTAAAACCTTGCCTTTGCCTAGCACT